AATCTCTCTTCTTGTTTCTTTTCTTTCTCCACCAACCACTGCTGTAATCTCTCTTCTTGTTTATTTTCTCGTTCTTCTTGTTTCATTTCTTGTTCCAGTTGCCACTGGTGCTGGTTTTCTTGCCACTGATCTAGCCTCTCTTCTTGTTTATTTTCTTTCTCCTCCAACCACTGCTGTAGTCTCTCTTCTTGTTTATTCTCACATAAGTATACTGTTTGTTAGCAAAGGTAATATCTATGTGAATGTCATTCCATACAAGATGTATAAATCTGAAAATACAAATAAGTTGCTTACAATTACTACGGAATTATAAAGTTATCTATCTTCATAAGGTCTACATGGAAGTCACTTGGTTGAAAGTTTGGCTTCTTTTTTTTTTCATTTAAAGCAGTTTTAAATTTTTCTTATAGTTTCAGATTTTATAATTGTAATTTGATTGTTACTTGTGTCAGTAATATTTAAAACTACAGTAAGTTTTCAATATAAAATGTATTGTAAAATATTTTACAAAATTCCAATAGCTTATTAATTCTGATCGCTAGGGGGCGTCAAAGCTCAAGAATAATATGAAAGAAGCTGGCTTATGATTATGTTATATAGTTTACTGTTTACTTAATTCTAATTTGAAATGACTACCATTCGTCCATTCACGTGTGATGACATGTTTCGCTTCAATAATGTGTAAGTAATATCCCGATTAAACACTTGTGCTAAACTACAGTTAACTTATGCCTATGACGAGCCTCAGTTACTAAGTTAGTCTCATCTTCTCATTATCGTCCTTAATGTTAGTATACTGTCTAGTACTAAGTATGTACAGTATTAGTTATTACCATTACGGCCTACTACTAGTAGTACCAATGCTAGTGTTAAGATGTATGGTGTAACAATTAGACTTTCATTTTACTTTGGGCAAAATTAAGAGCCTTCAAAACTCTAGGGCACATCATCTCCTGTTAATGCTATTGCCATTGGAAAATTATATTTACTGATAGACATTACTTGAAGTTTAATATTTATTTCACAGTTTTCTTATTAATTAATGCTATAGGAAAACATACTCGGGTAAATGATTTAGTGTATTTGTTTTCCTATAACTATTATCATTTTCGCTCCATGTTAAATAAAAACTTTCATTTTTGTTCAGAGCACAGAGACGGCAAAATTATGGTACATCAAATTTCAGGTGCTTCATTTATTAAAAAACCTTCTCCAGTGTCATGGTCTACATTTGGCATAAAGTACTAAAAAATTGAGTTTAGAAACAAGTCTCATGCTTTAGTTTTCACAGGTAAAAAAACAAAATCTGTTACCTCCTATCCCTGGTGTAACATGACATAGAATTGACTTGTAAACTTTTTAAATAGCACTTAACTTTATCAAGCCAGCTTTTAACAATTTTCTCATAGTCATACAATACAATTTATAATGGGTACATATGTTTATTTTTTCAAAAGATAATTGTTTTTAAGCTAGTGATAACTGAAGTACAGAAAGAAAATTAACATTTATAATTGTATTTTGCATAATGAGGGTTGTAAAAACTTAAGAAGTAATTTTTTTTGTTCAGTAAAGTAAGGGAAGTGGTAGATTTTTTTTTATCACAAAAACAAGTGTGGAATGCACATTTATAATTTTGATATTTTTTTGTGTGTGTTTTGGTTTTTGTTTCCAGTGTCATTACAAATGACTGATTTTGCCGTTAGTGGTATACAATGTATGCGGTATTAAATGTCCACACATAAAATATAATACTGTGTGGCTCTAATTGACACGTTATTGCTAATGAAGTGTGTTATAACTGCATTCCTTAATGTTAGGCCTTATTTTCAAAAATATTTGATAGCTTCATAATTGTTTGAGAAATGCCTATTCTGTTCTTCAACTTGATACCAAATTTAACGATTAACCATATATGTATTTTGACTGTATTAGTTTATTAGTTGAAGACTTTCTATAAAGTCTGCAATTACTGTAGAAGGAAACATTTCCTGAGGAGTATACAGGACAATAGAAATGTTATGCACAATGTTTTACAAAAAGTCTAGTCAGTATAGCCAGTAGATAAAGATTTCCTTTAAGAAGAAGTATTCTTTTTTTTTAAGAAAACAAAAAACATCTCGATTTAAAATAAACAATGGAAGTCACCAAGTAGTATTACCCACTAGAAACCTAGACGATCATTTCCGATTTAACACAAAATATTACAATTGTTAATATACTATTACTCCTCGGTGAAATTATTTCTTAATTTATATTTTGCTATATCTCTTCATTTTGAAAGCTAGATGGAAGTTAATCATATTTGATATAAAATTAAAATAGTTAAATGTTAATACAACACCTTTATAGTGTGATCAAATGATGTTTGTTGTTACTACTGCTGTTCCCTTGGAGAAAAACTATTTTAAACATTATATATTTGTTTACAAAGTTCTAGCATCTGTAAGCAGTATGGTAAACCAAAGATCTCTATACAGGTCATTGTGATATTTATTAATGTTTATGTGTTTGTGAATTATGTGATACATATTTCAAACATTAAGTTAAAGCTAATTTTATTCATAATCGATGTGTTCGAAGGAAAACGAAGTTTGATTATAAATAAGATTACAACATTGTTTATTGACAAAAAGGGGACATGGATAAACGTTTCGGAAT